GTGACTTTTAGAACACCCTGTACTTCACTAAATGAGTGACAAAAATCAGTTTCACTTAAGAATAATCGCGCAGCAAACAGGCAAATATTCGTAGGTCAAATATTCAAGAAGCTTTTAAATTTGGCCTTTGATTTATACTGAATAATCTCAGTTTCTTGTGATCCATAGTGGATATATATTTTTCCCCAAACAAAATGTTAAAACTTCCAACGACTTTTTATTGGCAGAAATTATGTCTTTCATCTTATATTACTCCGGAAATCGTGACATCCATAAAAAAGGCCGACTTAATTATTTACCATGTATTTAAGAGACGTGAAATATCCTGGAAAATTTGTTGAGTATCAAATACTTCTGATAAATGACCATGTTTCGGTTAATGTGTCAACTAAGGAAGTACTATGAACTAAGACAATAGCAGGTTATTAGCTGAAATAAAGGTGTAACAGTTATCTCTTGTCTTTTTTAAACTGTTGTTCACCCAATACAAGACTCAAAAGGCACCCGGGCTAGGGGGTTAGTAAATGACGTTGTAGATTATGACTATATATAGTAAATAACGGTTGACTTTAAATATGAAGAGGTTCAGATTGTAATAGTTGGGGAAGCAACCTCTTGGTAGTCTGCTTCAGAAAGCAACGGGAAGAAGCTGTTAGAATGGAATTTCCTTCTTACCAATGAAATACGAAAGCAACGAGAATGATTCACCTTTGTGGACATAGTATGGCGGGCCTTAGCTGTAAAGGTATGAACTAGGGAAATTAAGGAATATAGCTCGGAATATTTTTCATAAAAATAGCGATAGAGTAGCTATGAGGTTGCTACGTTTCCTTTGTGGGGAACGGGTTTTAGGGTCGAAAATAATTCATCACCTACAAGGCAGCGTAAACGCTTTTGAACTTATTTTTTTTTTATCTTAATAAGTTTTGTCTATACTGGGAAGAGAAGATTGAATAGATCCAGTCCAGAAATAGAAGCATCGTTATATAATCTAAGAAGGAAAATGGCCTGGAAAAATGTTTAGCGAATGTGAAAAAAAAAAAGAATGATTTTTATCCTTGAAAATAGACAGGAGTTAAAATAATGGTTCTGCCAGAATTGGATAAACCCTGACATTAGACGACGCGCAAACGCTGTACTAAATGAACTATGACCTTACGAATACTCGAGAATACCATGAAATATAAACACTTTGGTTGGAAGACGTTCTGTTAAAACTGACAGAATGGTTGATGATTTAAGATGACATTTTTCAGATTGATGAGTAATCTCGAAGATCGTAAATATGTAGGATCCTTGCGATTAGCAATAATTCTGATTCATTTACAATCTTAGGAAACAATATCATATGAATAAATTACAAGCATGAGTTTAGTGTTATATTAAAGGATCATTTGCATAGACTCATAATCTTAATTTAATGCCTTTCAAGGCGTGGGTGATTATGGCACTCCATACTTACTTTTCCTTAGTATCTATGATTTGCTCCGAATTCTTAAGAAATCTGGTGACTTTGTTTCCTGTTTCCTTCTCCATCGTTCTTATTTGAGAGGTCCTGCTTATATTAACTGCCACCCAAGGCAATCTACGCTGCTGTTTGACACTTAAGAGAAGAAAAAGAAATGATTTCATGCTTTTCTCAAAGACATCTGTGCGGAAGTACTGCCTGTGAGACGAAAAGAAGAGGAAACAAGATATTTTAAAATAACATTCTCTGTTTTGCCGATATAAAAGATCAAGGTGCAAGGACTCTTTGTAGGCAACGGATACGTCCTGGAGGATGGGAGAGTCGATAGGACCTGAAGTTGAAGCTAGTATCGAGTTGGTCGACTGAAACCACTTTAATGTCTTTGGGTACCTGCTTTGAATGTCGCGAACGGGTCCTTTAAAGCAGTTAGGGTAGATATATGACTTTTTTTTTTGTCATACTTTTGCGTTTGTGATTGGCGTCTTTTAAATTGTAGTCGATATTTTGGTGGGAGGGGTTGTTTTTTTAGCTGTATGTGAAGCACGGTGCCCCGAGAAGAGAGCGATTTTTTATTTTTGAATTTTGAATTCATAACATTCGCATTCGGCTGTGATATTTTGATATGAATTAAATCAGAATGCGGTCTAATTTGAAGCACAGTATAGCATCTGTTAAGTTACTTCCCAAATATTCAAACTCCTGTATTTACTTGATTTTGACATCTCCAATTCATAACTTAGATCTTCGGTCTTTTCTCTTTCTGACAACCATGTCTACTGGCTTCTTACAACTGATAGCCATTTCTTCTTTACTAGGAGAAGATGTAGTTTTCCTTCTACGCCTGCCGTCAACATAGTGCCATTTGCGCTTCTTATATTGTTAAGATTACACCTACCGATAATAAATCCTACTGATGTCTCCAGCTCCCTTAAGTTAACCTTGTTGCAGAGGTTGAATAAATCCGGTGTTAACGCACATCATTGTCCTACGCTCCTTCCCGTTTTTGTGTATCTACTCAATTGATTTTCTATCAGTAAGTAAGCGGTTGTTCTTAGTATAAGGTCTGGATTATTCTAACATCTTTCCCAAATCAAAATAGTTTTCTTAACAGTTTAAATAGATCTTCGTATTTTAACTTATCAAATGCTTTTGTGTAATCTATGAAATACAAACGTATACTTGTTCAAGTTTTGCTCAAAGTTTGTTCTTTATTTCAGAAGATTGTCACGTAGAATTTTAAAAATTAAAGGGGTTGAAATAAAAGTTACAATCATAAAAAGAAAGAAAAAGTCGTAGAAATACAAAAACAAATTCTGTAAAACCACCTTCTGAAACATGAAACAGAATTTAGGCCTGAAGATTGTGTTCAAGCTAGGTGTTCATTTCAGGGTTCATGTTTATATTTACATATAAGGCCCTGAATTTGGATTTGGAGTTTGAGAACAAGGTGCTTAATTATTTACTGCAGTTTTTATTATGATCGAATCTTTATACTTGAAAATCTTTCGTTGACTATTACTGGAATATATATATATATATATATATATATATATATATATATATATATATATATATATATAAAAAGCAGTATAGGTCACGATTAAAAAGGCTCAAATCAACAAAAAAACAAAGTTTTGTCTTAATATGTTGTTATTAATTGAAAGCTAAAGAATTAAATTTACTACTTACAGTAAGTAACATATTCTGGTGTCTTTCAGATAGAAATTATATAGATTGGAATGTCAAATATATGCTCGATTTTTGTTTAATTTTCTTAAAAGCGGCCATTTTCTTAAATTTTATGAAATTTGTACACAAACAAAATTTTGATTTTAAACTTCTTCCTAAAATAAATTTATATATTTTTGACACGTTATTTGAGTAAAATTAGAAAGTTTAAAGTTAAATTAATCTGATATTAAACAAACAGTACTTACTTATAGCATAAAAATTTGTATCCAAACATTTCTTAACGATGTGTCTGAATTTATCAAAGAAATCGATTGTGACGAGGTGATGACAGATTACTATGGATGATCAAAACAATTTTTGCAAAGTAAGCGAACGCGCTTTTTCGTTTTTAACGTACTTTTTAAATATTAACATTTTTATTCAGCAATTATGTAATATCTATTTTTTATTTCATACTTTCTTAATTAGATAATAGTTCAAAGTTTTTTATTAATTAGATAATTGTTAAAATTTTTTAAAGATTATGTCATGTATACATTTCCATACGTAGAAATTATGAACGTTTTTTTATCAAGAAAAATTTTTTAAAAAATTATTTAAAAAATATTTTGGGTCAAACGACTGTTATGTGCTTTTCAAATTTCGATTCGTAAATTTACTTTTCATTAACGTTATCATTGCATTACGTGCTTGAACGCAATAAAGAATTTTAAACGATTTTTGAAGTATTAAGAAGTTAATGAAAAAATTTTATTTCTTCACAAAATAATGTCCTTAGTATAACGTATTTACAAAAACAGGTGAAAGCTTTTCTAATTAATTAATGTCATACTTTTTTACATTTTTTTTATAATTCAAAGCAGATTTTCTATGAAATCGGGTACTGTTTTACAAAAAAAAAAACTGGTCATTTACTTTCTACAAAGAGTCCTGTTTATAACTAATAAAACAAATCCCGCGCGTGAAGATTTAATTTCTCGAAATTTCATGAAAATATGTAAGTGGGTGGAAACATGTTAAAAAAATCTCTTTTTAACAAGATTTTCTGAAAAAAAATTTGAAAAATAATTTCATTCATTTGTGAATAAGTCCTGAAAGTTTCATTAAAATCCGACAATTATTTGATCTTTGCAAGAATTTCCTAATTAACGTATGTTTTCCTCGGAAAGCGCAAAATAAAACAAACATTTTTTTTTACTCTTCTCGCGCTGTCGTAAAAAAAAAAAAATTTTAACCAAAATTTTCTACGCGCTAGAAAGGAGTAAAAAATTTCAAAAAATATTTAAAAAATACTTTGGTCTTTCCTCTTCATAACAACATAAACATATTGAGACAAAATTTTGTTTCCGTTGATTTATGGACCTTTATTCATCATGATATGCTGCTTTTTTTTAATAATACCTAATGGAGCCTATATATATATATATATATATATATATATATATATATATATATATATATATAAAGTGAGCATTGAAGTCAACACTCAGAGGCGTCTGAGCAATGGTAAGAGGAAAAAGATCATTCAGGCCTTCAGTAATAGTAACAACATTCATACTCTGGCTTTCATCTTCAAAGTCCATTCAAAAACCATCAAGAGAATGGTGAATAAGTTTTAAAAAGCGGGAACAATAGAAAGGAAAACTGGATCAGGACGTCACAACAGCATGAGGAATCATTTTAACTTAGAGCGAAATATATTCTTATTGTTTAGAGTTCAATAGATTTATAAAAACTCGGAGAATTCTAATATCTTTAATCATTTCTAAGATAAAACAGTTCTATGCTTAATCTAACAATTGGACAATTTTTCTGTTGCATGATTTGGACAATTTTGCTCTTACACCCTATAGATAGATAGATAGATAGATAGATAGATAGATAGATAGATAGATAGATAGAGGAGATACAAAGTGATAGAAAAATATAAAGATAGATAGATAGATAGATAGATAGATAGAAAGAATAGATAGATAGATAGATAGAGGAGATAGATAGATAGATAGATAGATAGAGATAGATAGATAGATAGATAGATAGATAGATAGATAGATAGATAGGGAGAGAGGAGAGATGATTTAATATTTTCAGCAGATTCTAAGCCATTCCAGTATATATTTACATATCCACTCTTTTTGATATTAATATTAATTCTATTAACGCTGAATTACTCGTGGCTGTGAGACTGCAAGCCCCGTCCGTGTCTCCCTAGAGAACTTAATTCAATTTCAGCAAATTTGCTTATATTTATTTCACAAGAAATGAAACAAGATAAATTAGAATAAACAAACTGGTGTGTAGTGCAATTCCTTTGGAAGTAAAAGAAAATAATAACAAAGAAAAAGAAGAAAGTTGTTTTTATTTCTACTGAGTTCATAAAAAGCGGTTAATTTCATTGCAAAAGTAATTCGTTTATTTACTTGTCTAGGATCAACGTTGCTTCATTTAAATGCTCAACACTGATTTGTTTAGATAAGAGAATTCAACGTTTATTCGTTTAAATGTGAGATCAACACGTTAATTTTAAATGCGATAAATCAATATTGATCTATTGAAATACAATAGATAGACATTGATTTATTTAATATGATTTATTAACGTTGATTTATTTAAATGTAAGAGATTAAAGTTGATTTATTATGAGAGATCAACATTGATTTATTTAGATATGAGAGCTCAACGTTAATTTATTTAAATATGAGGGATCAACATTATTCACGATGAATCAATGTACAGTTATTTGTTCACGAGTGATCAACAAAATTGTCAGTTAGCCAGTCTAATATACTATTCCTCGTGTATCGGGATTTTGATTCTCCTTAAATGTTCCACTATTGTGTTCTTATGTCAAAATAAGTTTAATAAGTACTGAAGGATGTCCTGTCGTGAGATAATGGTTAGAGAGATTATTTAGCAGAGTTCGATTCGCACTGGGTGTCCAAAACTTGTGACTTTATATTGTAGAGGATTGTGTGTCTACAGGTTTTATTGGAATGAGGTCGAGGTTGAAAACTTTCGAAGGAATTGAATTCGACATTTTCAGAATGAATAAACTCAACACATGGAGGAATTTTATATATATAACTTTATATAATTAATAACAATACAAGAAAAGAGAAAATATAAGTGTGTGTCCACAGATAGCTGAAAAGAAGAAAACACATTTAAGACTTTGTTATTAGGAAACGTGTTTGTGATAAACTCTAGCAGGGGACAGCCTGGGGAAAGAATTTTCCCCCAGCGGAGACAAAACTAATGTTGACGTCATTACATTTCGGAGCAAAAGAGTGAAAGGGTATTATTGTCCCATCGTTTTATACTCCTGAACAGCGTCAACTAGCGCGCGTCTTGGTAGACCAAGTGAGGGTAATCCTCACACTATATCCGTTTAAAAATGTACTGGTAAACAATGGTTCTACAAATATGACCATTACCTGGCTCGCGAACACACTTTCATATATTTTCTAAATAGATACCTTAAACTTTTGGGGTTTAAGGCCACAATCACGTTGAAATATCGGTTCCCGTACGTTCAGTTGAGTTAAGTAATGTCGAGCATGGTCAGTATCTAGATGGGTGACCGTTTGGGTATGCAAGGTCCTGTAAGCTTGAATGTGCGGGTGGTATAATGGATAATGACCCGGAATGGCTAATCAGAGTATCGTGTTCCAATTCCAGTTGGGTTCGTTATATTCACTTACCCACAAACAACCTTAGGAAACATATTAATCCGCCGCTTCTTCCCCAGCTATGGGTTAATTAGTAAGGCTTGTATTCCTAAATCATTATTATCTAAAAAAATGATTACATTCTAAAAATATTTTCTGGGTTTAAATAACATGCAAATGGTTGATAATGAATGAATAAAAAAATTAATCAGTCGTTTTATCTATTCAAATTAGAATAAAATTCTTAGAAAGTTAATTTTTAAAGTCAAATTTTGATCATTTTTAGATCTTGTTATTTTTAAATGCTGTGACCAAGTAAATGACTAAAGAAATAATAAAACAAATATTGCAGATATATCATATATTAAACAGTAAGTACAACAGAAGAGTATTACACGACTAGTGAATGTGTGTCGGTTGACCCGGCGTTCAATCTATTCGACTGTTCCCCCAAAGCCTTCTCTCCTACTAATCTTATAGTAGGCGGAAGAGTTCAACATAGACTATTTAGAGGGAGAACACCACAAGATTAAATAAGAAACTACACAAATTTTCTTTCTTATCTTTTCTGGTTTTGTTTCTTTTTTTCTTTACATTTAACAAATGTGGTTTGAATTTGTCAATATAGTTGTTACGGGCCGGCGTACGCGTTGAGATATAACCACGTATGACTCCTGAAATGCCTACAACCAATATGTCAGACTCAAAGTATGAGTCCACCTCAAAAAATATAATGAAACAACAAGGACCAATACATATGTATAAACAAATGATAATGTATTGACAATAAAGGGTTACATATACAATAGAATGCTGTGTTACTGAACAATGAATGAAGAAAACATTTAAGCTAGTGAATAGTTTGCGTACGTGTAGTTTGTGTAGGAGAAAATCCTAGAAAAAAATGAAGTGAAAGATATGTACGTACGTGTCTGTGTGTATTTTTCATGCGTGTCCCAAAAAAGGAACGCGTTCTTCCCTGATAAACTTGCATGTTGACGTAAAAGGTAAGAAGAGGCTGCAAATAATTATTGTGGAGTATTTGTAGTACCGGAAAGCGTCCCCTAGTAGCGGTTTCGAAAATTAGGAGGAGATAACTGACAATAATAAATAAAATAAGAGGCTATGTTGGTTTCCATAGTTGTAGGTATTGTTTCAGTGAATACTTTAGTTCATAATAGTATCTTATTGATTAAATCAGGACGTGTGATTATAGGGACTAGTTTCTTTCTCTTTCTCTCTCACTTTTTATATTAGTGGTAAATTTACATAGGTGCCTCTTTGCTTATATTAGTCAGTGATCATAGTTCAATGATTATACTAATTTTTATAATTGCTGTTAAACTGAGTGTATGTCAAGCGAATGGAAACACTGATTCATTCCAAGTTAAGAACTTTTGATAGGTCAGTTTTTCTCAGAGATTTGGAATTAAGTTGTTAATATTTAAAGGGCCAGTAATTTAAAAAAAAAAAAAACTTTAAAACTTTCCATTTCCCGTGAGATTTTGTCTGCCAAACAGTTTGTATAAAATTACTCTCGCTTTTATTATTAACATTCTAGTGTTATTTTATCCGGTCTGGGCGTCTGGACAAATAAACCACAAACTGACTTGGAGGGATTTGCTGAGCAGAGTCTGAAATTTTAATCATGTATATAACACAGATATAATCATAATTATATGGTTAAATATCAGCAAAAGATGTTATTAAACTCTCCAAATAAACAGATCTGGAAAATAGAAATTATGAAAAATTTAAATATAATCATTATTCCAATGATTATATAGGATCATTAGGAATTAAAAAGATATTTTCTAGTACTGCTCTTGATGTGTTTGCATTATTGACCTATATCGTCGAATACCACCCACTTGCACATTTTCCACTGATTAACTATCGTAATTTCTCAAAAATAATACGCATTTTTTTACTGCAGTAAGTCAATCAGTTATGTGCCATGCGGGATACACGTTTAGGCGATCATGTATTATCGATAGACGACTGACGAGGCAGACTTTTTCACCGCAGTAGATTGCCATTTCTTTCTGCGGTAGACCATTTGCCATCCAAGGCAACACAGTCTGCCCTGCTATTTACCCGTTTATTTAGCTGGGGAGTGAAGAAGAGGATTCATATTTTTCCCAAGGGTAATAGCATGTAAGTGAATGTAATGGATTCAAACTCGGCTCTCCGATTCCTCAATCCCAGCCACCGTGCCTCCACGATAGTAGTATTACAAATAGGTTTAAACAAGAATATTTTTTGTTATTGATTTATAATAATAAATACGTACTTGTTGTTCTAAAATAAGAAAGATATTATCCCAATTTTCATTTTAAATCCAACAATAATAATTGTAACGTTTTTGTCAATAAATTTATTTTTTTCAGTAACCGCATTTTTTTATTTTGCGAAAAATAAAAAAATCTATGAAAAGGTCAATTTCGAAGAAAAGAGGATATCAAGTTAACAATTTATTGAAATTTTAATTTTCATCATCATCATCACCACTTTCTATTATAGAATCAATATCTAAATTGTCATTAAACAAATTATCATTTACAATATTATCTACGTCCTGTTCAAAATTATCTTCGGCCTCTTCATTCTCTTGCCAAAAGGATGTCATCTTCAGAGCTATCCATGGCTGTCATGAGACAACACTCCTTGAAACCTCTCCATAAATGTATGTCAGCTTCATTTAACTCATGCTCTCTAACTACAGCTCTGTTTCCTATTCTTTCTGCCAATTCTATTACTTTTTGTTTAAAATTTGAACGTTTTGACGACATTTTATCGGTAAAATAAAATGTTTTATTTATCAGGAAAAACGCCTGGTAATTTTCAACATTATTTTAGCCGCTTTGTTTCGATTTTATTCTTAATGTCAAGTTCGACAAAATGTCTTCGTAATTATTTTTTGTTGTATTTTGACAAAATTCATAGATGCGTATTATACATAAGGACAGATATATTTTTAATTTTTGGATCATTTGTCGGGTGCGTATTATTTAAGGGTGCATATTGTTTTCGAGAAATTACAGTATTTTGTTACGTTTGGTTTGGTTTGTTTTGTTTTACGGCATACCAACCTCAATGGGTTATTTAATGCCGACAAGATTTTTATTGCTGGTAATATTTTTTTCAAACAAGTATTGCTGGTATTAAAACCTATTTTTATACTTTCATAGTGTTTTGACCCCTTTTTGTTGCGAGGGTTACCTATTTGCCCATAGCTGGGACCCTGACAGGTGCTACCATTCGGGGTAAGGGTAGACAGCAATTAAGTTGTTCCATGCTCCTCAAAACCTTCTGATCAAAGGCCTTTCTGTGGGATGTAGTTTATCGTCTTACCCAGGACGATATTTTGTTAGGTGTAATTAATCCTATAAATCTTAAAGAAGATGATTCTTCATCAGAGTCTATAGATTGGCGATATAAAATCATAAACGAAAAGCCTTAC